CAAATTTGTTTAGAGAGCTAATCAGTATTTCACAGTTCAGCATGATGTTCATGTCTGGTTCCTAATGGTTTCCTCCGCAACAAGTCAAATCACAACAACCAAAACTAGTTATTTCATTGCTCTCTAGTGTTGACTTGGATTATAGCATGTTATTTGTTCAGCTTCTCCAGCTGTATTAGCTGTCACTAAACCATTTCTATAGCACTTGCAAAATACCACGAAAAAGCACTTATTATGTGGGTCATTAATTTTTTAATTTACTCAGCAAGATCAAACTGTGATGATATAAAAAAAGATGAAAATTATCAATAAAAAAAGGCCTTACCAAGGAATTTACTTAAACATTGCACCTGGCACACCAGACCCTTCTCTTTCCTTCCCCAGCTCTTGGAGAGCTCTGGTGTGAAGCCATAGCTGGTGATCTACTAATCAACTTGTACTCTCTTTCCATTCCTGCATCCCACCTCAAGTATGAAGAGATCCAGTGGCCTGATCCAGTTTGCTTGATACAAAACATGGTGAACACACTTTGGAACCATGCTCACATTTCTGGCTAGGATTCCACTAAATAGGGAAACAGAGCTAGCAACCAGCAGACCATCCTTTGTCTGCAGTCAAGCTGTTGGGAGCAGGTTGTAAGGCAGATGTATGCTTGGCATTAACTAATAAAATGCTTCTAGTGCAAATGCACCAATCCCTGCAAAATTCTTGCCCTGCTAAAGAAAGCAAACCTTCCCCTGTGAAGTAAGTCATACCAATGCAGCTGGTATATGAGGTGTTTTGCCAACAGAAACCATGCTGATTACAAATCTTGCCACAATGTGAAGCTGGCTATCTGGAACTTTAGCAAGCTTTCTTATGCATGTTTAGTGTCTGACACTTCATCATCTTCAAATATTATTTGGCACCAGTTTGTTAGCTTGTTTCATACAGAAAATGATGGAGCTTAAGCCCGACATTATGAAAAAACAAAAGAATGAGGAGGAGAAGGTATGGGTGAAACAGTGTGTAACATCAATAGGTTTCATTTTGTTTGGTGAGATTTTCACTCCTTTCCCTTCCCCCTGACACAAGCTGTTCATTTGTTTCCCACCTAGCAGTGCAATGGCGCATCAAGCGTGAAGAGGTGCTTGGCTTTCCTGTTAGCTTAAGCATGTCAGTCTAAATTGCAGTACTTTTTTCTGGTTTCTGTTTCCTCAAAAGGCTACCACATTGTGCTTTGCTGCAAGGCCATGCTCAGCAGTTACAACCCATTTCACAAATGCTGTTTGTGCCTGAGGTTGGGTCTAGAAACTGCTGCTGCTTGAGCAGGTCCTACCCTTCTCCTTGCCATCAAATACAGCAGCAAAAGCAGACACTGAGAACCGTAGCACATTCCAACTAACCAGTTGCACAGAAATGCCAAATTCAGTAAGAGTTGAGCTGCACTTGCCTTGGTATAAGACTCCTCCAGTCACATATCAGTTTTGTTATTTTTGCAATCTGATCAGGCTGAAGCCTCAACAAAATACAAAGAGAAAGCAGAGATGTGACACTAGCTGTGGGAGCTTAAAATACGGAATAATTGTTAATGCTTCATTTGCTATGAAAAGGTGGTATTTGCTCTATGTTTTAGCAAGTATTATGCTGTGTGGCAATTGACTTGTTAATCACCTCTCCGTACGTAGCAGAAATATGCATCTGCGGGCTAGCAAGAAGCTTGCTGGAAGCACTTGCAGAGCATCAGTATGAGTAGGATGCCTGTGCACGTATCATTGAATGGTTTGGGTTGGAAGGGACCTTTAAAGGTCATCTAATCCAACTCCCCTACAACAAGCAGGGACATGTTTCACTAGATCAGGTTGCTCTAAGTCCCATCCAGCCTGACTTTGAATGTGTCCAGGAATGAGGCATTCATAACCTCTCTGGGCAACACGTTCCAGTGTTTCACCACCCTCATCATAAAAGAATTCTTCCTTATATCTGATCTAAACCTACGTTCTTTCAGTTCAAAATCATTATCCCTTGTCCTGTCACTGCAGATCCTGGTAAAAAGTCTCACTCTTAAAGACCATCATTAAATATTGGAAGGCCACTATAAGGTCTTCCTGGAGCGTTCTCTTCTCCAGGCTAAGCAACCCCAATGCTCCCAGCCTGTCCTCATAAGAGAGGTGTTCCATCCCTCTGATCATTTTTGTGGCCCTCCTCTGGGTTCACTCCAACAGGTCCGTGTCTTTCTTGTGTGGCGGACTCCAGAGCTGGACACACTACTCCAGCTGGGGTCTCACCAGAGCAGAGTAGAGGGGCATAAAAAGTCTCACTCTTAAAGACCATCATTAAATATTGGAAGGCCACTATAAGGTCTTCCTGGAGCGTTCTCTTCTCCAGGCTAAGCAACCCCAATGCTCCCAGCCTGTCCTCATAAGAGAGGTGTTCCATCCCTCTGATCATTTTTGTGGCCCTCCTCTGGGTTCACTCCAACAGGTCCGTGTCTTTCTTGTGTGGCGGACTCCAGAGCTGGACACAGTACTCCAGCTGGGGTCTCACCAGAGCAGAGTAGGGGGGCAGAATCACCTCCCTTGACCTGCTGGCCACGCTTCTCCTGATGCAGCCCAGGATATGGTTGGTCTTCTGGGCTGCAAGCACACATTGCCAGCTTAGGTCGAACTTTTCCTCCACCAGTACCCCCAAATCTTTCTCCACAGGGCTGTTCTCAATCCCCTCATCCCCCAGCCTGTATTGTTACCAGGGGTCGTCCAAACCCAGGTATAGGACCTTGCACTTGGCCTGGTTAAACTCCATGAGGCTTGCATTGGACCACTCAAGCCTGTCAAGTGTTGTATTTTCAAACATGAGTAGGCAACATAAAAACTTTCCAAAGGCAATTTCAGCTCTTTAGCCAGTTACCAAGAAGTCAAGAAGTCTCATTAGGTTTGTGAGTCCTTTTTATTTGAGAGTTCTGTGCTGTTAACTGCCTTTCCTGTTTGTTTGTTGTTTTTTTTTTTAATTTGCATGCAAGTCAGAATCATCATCAAACAACTTCAGCAGTGTGCACAGCGGAGCTGGGATACAGGTTTACACACATGCATAAAATCTTTTGAAGTCGCTCTTATTCAGTATCTTTGTTGATGTTCTTAGCCATAAGAATAAACAGTTGCATTGACCCCTCTCATTTTTTCACCCTACAAGGCAGGAAGAAGTTGCACAGTTGCAAATGTTCTCGAGTGCACAGAGGTTACAAGTGAAACCACCCAACCACAGAGCAAAACAAAGTAAATAATCGCTATGATTGCCGAGCTGTTTTCTACGTACATTTCCTTCCTGCCTAGCACATAACACTGCTCCTTGCAAAGCAGACCAGATGGTGTCTTTTGGTTATCTAAAAATAAACCACTATTGTGAAACAAACTATCATGACACTGAAACAATTCCCTACTGTAATAGATCTAAAAAACAGTCCTCCAGCCTGTAACTACAGGAAGCACAGAGGTAATTTTTTTCTGCCAGCAAAAAGTTGATGTTCATAGTTTTAAGGTGCATTTGGATTTTGCTGAAAACCAAAACCACTCCTACTACGATATTAAACAAAACGAGAATGTACAAGTATGTCTCATAAACATTTGTGGGGTTTTACCCTTACAAATTACACGTACATGTATTTTTAGTGCTTGTGTACTTAGAAAGTGGCAAATACTTGAGAACAAAAATCTAGAGAAACCCTGGTAATGCAATACATAATTATGCTTAAGTCTGTTAAGGAAAAGACAAAAATCGACAAGAGATCATAGTTAGGAAGAGATTTTTTACTTTTTATGCAGAAAGGGTAGGTTTCTTACCACTTGTGCTGGACTGAAGGCAGCTTTTATCCATTGCTGTACTTCTTGGCAGATTCCTATGGCAAACCCTACATTAGCCAAATTCCTACTTAATTTAATTTCCATTTTCATGTACATCCCTATT